TTATGTCCAAACACCTGTAAAGTATTTTTTAAGAGTGTGATCTGCAACATAATTTTTAAACACATTATTAAAAAAGTAAAGTTTGATTCAAATAACTAAGAACATCAAACTGTACCTAAAATAGTGAAATTATATAAAAATGTGTTTCAGCTACTTTTACATAAAAAAGCAAGAGAACTTATTTTTTACTGTTTTAGAATCAGGTAAATTCATAAAGAGGAAGGGTTTTTTAACAAAGCAGCTGCCCTAGCTGGGGTGATGACCATATATTTACTAAATAAAATACATTTGTGGCCTGGGACAAAGAAAAAAGCCAAGGGTGTGAATATAAAATGGCTGCAGTGAAAAGAGCAGCCATGTGAAATAATACACCTGCATCCTATGGTTGAAGCCGTTCCTTCCTGGATGGGAGTTGGGTTTTTTTTTTGTGTGTGTGTGTTGGAAAGGCAGCAGAAATACATATAGTATATATAACATATCAGTAGTTATCTATTACCAAAAATTGAGTCTCTAACGGATGCTAATGTTGGCCAAAAATTTGATATTGGTACATCCTATAAAACAACTTTACAATTATTTGTTAACTGAATATAGTGTTTTTTGGCACTTTTTGCTACACTGTAGGATGATTTTTACTATTAAAGAAAACAATGTTTTAATAATAGAGCTTTAAAAATAGCACTTAGGATTTTTCTTTTTACCGTGTTTACGGAATTACTTTCCTTGAAAATATCCATCCATCCATTTTCTCTTGCTTAGTCCTTGTCAGGGTGTCCCTGTGGGGCTGTTGCCAATCCCTGACAGTCTATGGGTGAGAGGTAGGGTACACCCTGGACAGGTCGCCAGGCTGTCACAGTGCAACACAGGGACACACAAAGACACACAACCATGCACACACACACACTCACACCTAAAGGACAATTTAGAGAAGCCAATTAACCTAACAATCATGTTTTTGGACTGTGGGAGGAAGCCACAGTACCCGGAGAGAACCCACACATGTACGGGGAGAACATGCAAACTCCATGCAGAAAGACCCTGGGCTGGGAATCAAACTCGTAAACTTATTGCTGCAAGGCAGCAGGGCTATTCACTGCAGCACCATGTAGTCCTCCTTGAAAATATGTCAAGTTTAAATCTCTGCATGCAAACCCATAATGTGACTGAAAGCAATGGATTTGATCAGCTGCTATATGATGCATTTGCCCTTGATTCATCCTTTCACAATTACGTGTGTTTGTGTATTTTGGTTGTGACATTCCTCCCAGCTCAGATGACTCTGGCAGGGTTGATCAGTTTGATGTATTTGCAGTAGAAAATATACTGATCTCCCTCCAAGTCTAGATTTTTTATCTTTTGCAGTAGATTCTTGTCCTTTCTGCCTTGGTTTATCCAAAGACCTCTATGAGAGCTTCTTTCAGCTTCTTCCACCAATAGAAGAGATTTTCAGGAGTGTTAGTGGCAAAACAAATAGGCAATAACAACATACAGGTATATGCAAGAACATAAACTAAGAAAAACTTTTTAAAAATCTAATATGCTATAAATATATGTTACATTAAAGAAAAAATATTTTCGAAAAATAAAACAGTAGTCCATAAAAATGGAATACTTAAATTAAATGAACATTTTCAAGGTAGAGGAGAAAACTTGAGCCCATCTACAGATAACATTAAAGAAACAGGAAAAGCTTAGTAAAACTATGCAAATCAAAATAAGAATTTGCAAAACACTTACTAAGGAATTCAGAATTTTGCATCAGATAGCATGGTTGTACTAACCGGGCCTGTTGGTAGCGATAAGGATTACGGAATGTGTAATGAGCTCAGATCGTAGGACCCAGAATTCAGGTGAGAAAGGCAGTGGGAAAGTTTAAAGCAGTTAAAAACAGCGTTGTGTGGCCGCTCGTCAGCTGGGGCAGGCTCACTGGATTCTCTGCAGGAGTTTTGGCTCAGGTCAGTAACTTTCAAACTTAAACAAGGAACAACAATAAGCATGAAAGCCACCAACCTGGCAAAGTTCAGTCTGACCCCAGAAGAGTGAAGTCCAGTGGAGCAGAACTCAGTTGTTTATTACGGAGCTGGTACCAGAGATCCAGAAGAGAAGAGGAGCAGGGTCTTGCAGCAGCCAGTGCATGCAGAGGATCCAACGGATCCTGGAGGGTTAATCCAAGCCGTGGTCAGACAACAGATCAAAGATAGACATCATGTGGAATCCAGGTAAAAGCCCGGGAACACAGGACAGGAACCATTCAGGAAACAGACAGAAATAAACACAGGGAACGCCACAGTTAGTCTCGCTAGAAGCCAGAATGATCTGGCACCACAGTCTGGGATAAAGAGGCATAAATAGCAGCAGGAACAGGTGGATCTGATGAGAGATAATGAGCGCAGGGCGGAGCAAGCAGATGAGAGGAACAATGAAGAAAATCCAGCCTGAAGGTGCAAAGATCATGAAAGAATCTAACAGCAGCTGGGAGAAAGGATCATTGATATCGCTTTCTGGTGCACCAATGGTGTTGACATTTTTTGTAAAGGGCTTTTGTGTGTACAGCACCAATGCTGGACAAAAATAAGCAAGACAGATCAATGAAAACATCGGATAGAGCAGTTAAATGCATGCAAACAACTGAAACGTAAGAATTGTCGCTACCAGATCACACTGTGGGCAAGACTTTTAAACCAGAGTGAAACCCAGAAAAAACTGAGTGAGTGACAATGTGATCTAAATGATCTAAATACATTTCTGATTCTTTTTTTCTTTTTCTTTTTTTTTTTTTAAGGAAAACCATTCTACTGCTGTTTCCTCATTCCGTATTTCATGATGGATATAAACCATTCTGTGGCATTACTGCCCTCATAAAATTAAATGTTGTGCCTATTTTCAAAAAAGTAAAAAAAAAAAATGCCAAAGATTAAACTGTGAAAAAAAAGACCTTTAAAAATAGCACATTTTTTTTATTTATTGTTTTTACATGATTCTTAAGATTAGGATGGGAAGGAGGAGAATAATAAAAATATATTACAAAACAGATTTAGCAACTAAGAGGGTTTAAGGTTTTTTATACAACATGAAAGGTTTTTGAGTTGTTAATAAATGTTTTCCGTTGTTTTCTTTGACTCTTTCTTTGATTTAAAGCAAAACGAACATTTTATGCAGCAGCCACACATTTAACAAAATTAAATACAATCAAAATAGTTAAAGTCAAGAGACACAATAGATTAGTCTCAAATTAACCTGGATGTTGGAACAGTCTGATTCTTCTGAGCAAAATTCAGAACTGAACTTTACAAAATAAACCTGGGGTGTGTCTATATGAATCTGAAATGCAAATAGAAGCATACAGATACACATAAACGTAAAATAAATATATTAAAATATTGCTTTAAATCTATATTAAAACACTGTACACTTATATAACAAAATCAGATTTTTTTTACTGAAAAAAGTTTTGAAGAACATCATAACTCGAGAACCCAGCCTATATAAATGTTACCTTTATTACCTTTAAGCGACAATCTTTGACACATTAAATAAAAGAAAACTAAATAGCACATGATCATTTATTTTAATGAAACACTTCAGAAGTGTTTTAGTTTTATTACTTGGTATTAGGAATAGCTTAAAATTAATTCATCCATGTCATTGTTTTTACAAAGGAGATCATATTTGTTAATAATCGGCTTTGTCATTTGACAAAATCTGAATCTGTTTGTTCAACCATCCAGATTTTAATGAATACAGACAATATAAAAGCTAAATTATGACCAAAACTGTTTGTTATTCACCTGACTATGACAGCTGTTGTTTAAAAGCAAATAATTTCACCGGCATCTAAGAAAGTCATTTTAACACAGGAGCTCAATTCCACCCACTTTACAGAATACCAGCGTAGGTAGAGC